TTTGTATTAAAAGCACTTCACAATGTCTTTTGTACCTGTTTCATTTCACATAGTATCTTTCTTTTCTTATGTTAAATAGCAAGTGGTTCAAATATAAGCCTGCTGAGGCTAAAATTGCATGCGAGTTTTTCACTAAAAAGTGAAAAATCTTTGTATCAGACCATACTGTCTGCAAAAAAAGTAGAATGCAAGAGTCCCTTTATGCTCAGATTTATTGTATCATGTAACCTGAGTATAGAAATTATAAAAAAGACACAAATTTTTATTTCCTATTGCTTCAGTATGCATTTTTAAATGTAAATATGTGCTACGGCCTAAATTGACCCTAAATTATTTTCAGTCTTACTTGGCTTAAGACCCTTTTATACTAATATGGTATGCTATTTGTAATTTTTCCTTCCATTTAAAGTACATTTAATACATATGTAAGGATTATTTATAACCAAAAAACTCTACAAATTTAAAATTGCTGGAAAATAATACATCTTCATGTAAGGCCCCCCTTCATTGGAAAACCTCCATTTTTTGGCACAGGCTCATATAAATTTGACTTTTAAATAATTGTGATAAGTCTGATAAATCAAATGAGTATTCTATTGCTTTAAATACATAATATGTCATATATAAAGCCCTTTAAAATGTAATTTTTTGCAATATTTTAATTTTTAAAGCCCCAAATGTTGATAGTTGAAATTTTTCAATTTAAACGTCAAAATTTAACACGCGAAGTTGAATATAGAATTTATCATATTGTCTATAATATATATCCTATTGCCATGAAACTTTGTCAGCAGTCTCATAATTTATTAAGCTTTAGTCATACCAAGTTTTATTAAGATTGGTCAAATTTTTCTATCCTAAGAGGCGAAATCAGTAAATATAGAATCTGTACTTTGGCAACTTCCCTGAATGATTTAATGGTGTCAATTTGTCAGATAGCATGAAACTAAAGGATTTTAACTTTTATTTGATAGAAATTCTTCAAAAATTACCCATTTTGGCATTATATGGTCAAAATAAGCATTTCAAAGCTTTTTCAATTTTGATGCATAAGTGGCATTCTGACTTTCTATGTGACAGGTTTTCCTGTGTCAATATTTGTGTTTCTATGCTTTAACCCAGTTGTATTACTCATTTGTGAACTCTGAATCTACAGAAAATAAGATTATCTCAGACAATATGTGCAAAATGTGTTGTATAAATGACCCTCGTGTAACGGCCTGTTTGGATCAAGTTAAATGTGAGGACCTAGGTACATAAAAGTTGAAGTCCATAATAAAGATTTCACTAAATTTGTATTAAAAGCACTTCACAATGTCTTTTGTACCTGTTTCATTTCACATAGTATCTTTCTTTTCTTATGTTAAATAGCAAGTGGTTCAAATATAAGCCTGCTGAGGCTAAAATTGCATGCGAGTTTTTCACTAAAAAGTGAAAAATCTTTGTATCAGACCATACTGTCTGCAAAAAAAGTAGAATGCAAGAGTCCCTTTATGCTCAGATTTATTGTATCATGTAACCTGAGTATAGAAATTATAAAAAAGACACAAATTTTTATTTCCTATTGCTTCAGTATGCATTTTTAAATGTAAATATGTGCTACGGCCTAAATTGACCCTAAATTATTTTCAGTCTTACTTGGCTTAAGACCCTTTTATACTAATATGGTATGCTATTTGTAATTTTTCCTTCCATTTAAAGTACATTTAATACATATGTAAGGATTATTTATAACCAAAAAACTCTACAAATTTAAAATTGCTGGAAAATAATACATCTTCATGTAAGGCCCCCCTTCATTGGAAAACCTCCATTTTTTGGCACAGGCTCATATAAATTTGACTTTTAAATAATTGTGATAAGTCTGATAAATCAAATGAGTATTCTATTGCTTTAAATACATAATATGTCATATATAAAGCCCTTTAAAATGTAATTTTTTGCAATATTTTAATTTTTAAAGCCCCAAATGTTGATAGTTGAAATTTTTCAATTTAAACGTCAAAATTTAACACGCGAAGTTGAATATAGAATTTATCATATTGTCTATAATATATATCCTATTGCCATGAAACTTTGTCAGCAGTCTCATAATTTATTAAGCTTTAGTCATACCAAGTTTTATTAAGATTGGTCAAATTTTTCTATCCTATTAGGTCCGAGTACACAGTTATCGTCCTTTGATTTTCGTTGTCCACGAATAAAGTCCCTAGTGTGGACAGTGTGTTGCTTGCCAATTTTTTTAGTACCCCTTCCAAATGTATTCCTTCATGTTTTATGCCTCAAATAGCAAGTAGGGGGATGAAATTACACTGTAAAAAAATTTGGGTCATGAATTGTAAAGTAAAGTAGTGATTTGGTCCAGCTGAAAAAGGTTAAAAATTAGCACTTCGGAAGCTGTCAAAAGATTTCAAGACCCCCTTAACATAGAATTGTCCATATTTTGAGTTAGAGCCGATGAAGTTTTCTATAATTTTGATATAATTTGTCCCAAAAGTAGTACAACACACTGTAAAAATATTATTGAGAAAGCGCAGGTGGGATTTTTTTTATTTTCATTTATTGTCTAAAAGAAATGCACTACGAAATAACTGTGTACTCGGACCAGATACAGCGTTTTTTTTCTTATTAAATAATTTCCAATTTTTTCATACCGGGGCATTTTATAAGATAACTTTTTATAACATGTATAACTGGGTTTTACTCATTGTTGAATGACGTACAGTGTCCTATAGTTGTTAAGATCCTCGTATTTTGTTCTTTCAATTGACGGAAAGTTTTCATCATACCACATCTTTTTATTTATAAGCCAATATATCCATTTGTTGAATTAAGATGATACATTTCAAATGTAGGCCATAAAAGCCCCGGACACGAAGATGGTACCAGAAAAAAGTCAGGTTAGAGATAGTTTGTCTCTGATTTACAATGTGAAAAACTTATTTCATAGTAATATTTTGTGTTTTCTTGAACATTAATAATTATAAGTATAAACAACTTTGTAAACAAAATTAATTCACGGTAAAAGAATTCATAATGATCTAATGATTATTTAGAAAATAGGCTGCGAAAAAAAATGTTATTACTTGACTGGCTTTATGGTACCAAGAAATATATCCTTTGCATGAATAAAATTTGATAAGTCTTCATTTATCAGTTCTGACGAACAATATCCTAATATGTATAATGAATTTTTGTGAAAAAAAGAAAGTACTTCAATAATTTAAGTTTCTCTAATATATTCAAACGATAGTAAACAGTTTTACTATTTAATTGTGAATTTTTGTCCTATCAATTGTGTGACGGTCAGGCGTGGGACTTTGTGCCATTTACTTGCAACTCAAGACTGAAAAAAATACCTTTACTTATGACCTCATAACATTGTAAAGTCAATCGTTTACGGTTACAGAGGCGTATAAAACAGATAGTAAATACATTTTTTTCAGATTTTTTTTTACTATAATTAAGAAAGACAAAGAAGATTCTCTTGAAAGAAAGATTAGTAATTATGCCAAATGAAAATTAAACTATGAACTTTTTTTGACATAGTTAGTCGTGAATTCTTTCTACTACAGCCCAAGTAGCAATATTGCATATTTAAATATAATTTTTCTTTCCGTTTAAAACCAAATGTCTTGCTGATAGCAAGGATTTAAAACTATACAAATCCTTGCTGATAGTTAACATGTTAAAGGATTCCCACTGATTAATCAATTAACACATATATGATCATATATAGACCATCGCGACACATATCGAGAGTTGTCTTATCTTGCGAACTGGACAACAGATGGTCCGAGGACACAGTTATCTACCTTCAATTTTCGTTGTCCACAAATGTAGTTCCCTTTAATTTCAGTGTTTTTTTTCTTATTTTTTTTCTTTGTCTTTTTTTGGAATTTTTCATTATTTGTTTGCATTTAGGTGAAAGATAAGACTTCAAATATACTGTCTGGAAAAAATCTTTTTGAAATTTTCTGTAGAAATGAGTGATTTGGTCAGGTAAATAAAGGTGGAATTTCCTCTTCTCGGAAGCTCTCTGGCTTCATCCTTACCGGTGTCCTTATGTTTGGGGTTACCAGGAGAGAATGAGCTGGTAGACTTTTCTGAATTTTTGATATGTTTTGGGATAAAAGTCAAACTTTATGCACACCAAATCTTTTTAGAATAGAGCAGGTGGAATTTTTTTTAATTGCCATTATGTTTTAATAGACAAATAGGGGAAAATAACTGTGTTCTCGGGCCAGATGAGTCAAGGAGATTAGAAACCCAGTTCAAAAGAATTATTTCTTAATTTGAGTTATCTCCCTCAAAAGTGTCCACAATTCTTGTACATGTTGAATAGGACTGGTGCTTGCATTGAGAAGTGAAGTTTTGCTCTGCGTGTGACGAAAACATTACTTTGACGTTGGAATAAAGAAAGGTAATAAGATCATTGTCCATTTAGTTTGAATTTGTAAAGTGGGTGTAGAGATTTTGTGTCATGGAGTGATACAATAAACTAACATCCGGTATCTAGATCATATCCGTTTCTTTCTATACTACGGAACACAGCACTCAATATTAAGTGAAGTATTGCGGAGCACGTAAAAAAACGGCTATAAACTCTGCACCGGATTATTAACAATATACACCAAATAATTTGTTTTTCATTTTATACTGAGTAACAATAGAAATTCAACACAAGTTCCCTTTTTGAATAATAAAATTTAAATAAATTTGCAAATAATAACAGTTTTGTATTACCTTTGCTTCGCCCAATTTGTAAATTCAATTGATTTTAAGGGGTTGGTGGAATTTAATAGATGATTTGATCTTGAATTAGGAAAGGTTAACATATTTTGTATGCACATCCTAAGATTTCTGCTAAATCTTTAAACGACTGGTCTATTTTCTATTGATATATTTGGATTTAAATTTTCAATTAAATTTAAAATATACACAGTTGCTGCATCATTTTTGACACAAAGTGTATACCTAACTGCGGTAAATTAAATTACCTGGACATTCTTTTTTAGAACAATTCTCGGCCTCCTGAGTGTCACCCCTACATTTTGAGGTAGAGGATAGAGGAGGATTATTGCAAATCCTGTGTCTAAACCGTTGGCCATCACCACACGATACTGAACAAGCGTTCCACTCTTTCCATTCTCCAAAATGTCCATGAACTAAAAGTTTAAATGATATGTATTTTTCATTCGGAATGACCTAATTGAACAAGAAATTTAGAATTTTAAGCACTTGCTTAAAAACACAACATTTGTTAAAACATCTTTATTTAGATAAAACAAATATAATAATAAAAATAAAGAAGATGTTAAAAGAAACAGTAACCCAACGAACTAGAAAATGACCAACTTAAAGCAAGGACCGAACTCATAAACGCAGGACTTCGGGAAAGTTCGGAGTGCTGCCACCCTTGCTTCGGAAGTTGTTAATTCCGTCCTCAACAAGCCAAGCGTCTAAGCCAAATATGTAAGTTAAACCCGATCCGAGTTTACCAAAAAAAATAAAGGTAGAATAGTAGAAGAAAAAAGAAAACATAAGATGTCTTGAGGTCAATATTATATCTTCAACAACATGCATGGTTGAACATGAGGTAGAATCAAAATAGGGTTTAAATACTCAATCTCCCATTCCAATGAAATGAGTTCTTAAGAATGCTCTTAGTTCTATATTACCGGCAAAACAAACAAGTAAAAAAACAGGTACTTATAAAACATGTATTGAATTATACCAAATAACTTAATGTGCACATTGTTTACGAAAGCAAGATCAGAGTTTGTAGCCTGCTGATAAAAATATCATTGGTTCTACACTCTTATATCTACAGCTGTAGACCTCACACAGCAACAATATAAACAGTGCAGGAAGGCATGACCTTTTGATATTTACAAATATGAAAATAAGAAGATGTGGTAAGATTACAAATGAGACAACTCTCCACCAGAGATCAAATGACATAGAAATATACAGTTTTATTTTCAACACAATACAAAAAACTTTTTTATTCAAGTTTCACATGTTTTATTTTAAGTTCAAAGTATGAATGAGCGAACTGTTTTTTAGACCAACGAAATTCATGACCCAGTGTTTAACAATAAGAGTGTAGTTAAATTTTTTATCATTTAATAAATCGCTTAAGCCAAAAAGTAATAAAAATTAAAAAAATTAAAGACATTTTCTTAAAGTTTTTGCTTGATAAATGAAATTAAACTAAAACTAAAAGGCTAAATGTAAAAGGAATTTTTAAAAACATAATTTATATAAATGCTACTTTCACTTTAAATATGGCAATGTGTGTGATACAAACTAGTCATCATTTTGACAAAGGACAAAGTACGATGAGTTTAAATTAAAGTTGACGTGTTGTAAAACATAATACTGTAATTCGAAAGAGTAAAACATTTATTTTTGGTAAACTACGGTAATATTTTCAACTTCCGCTGATTTAATTCGTGTTTTGTTGCGGTAAACACCCCCTGTCCCCATTTGAAAAAAGGTAAAACATATCAAATATCATGCATCGAACTGTTTCGCAATGAGTTCAAATACGTAGTTTTTTTTTAATTTTCTGACAATGTTTTGATACCGGGTTTTTTTCTGCAATTTAAAACTGACGCATTATTATTTTTTTCTTTCGTAACTTCCGATTGTTATTCTTATTTGTCAAGAAATCATTGCTCAAAAAGTCATAAACAAACAGGCTTATAATTCAGTATTCAAGATGTACTTTTTGTCGACAAAATACTTACCAGTGACTCTCGAATGAAAACAGATTGACGATAGAATTAACTTCAAAGTTTAAGAGCATTTCAATAACAAATAGGACAAAGTACATCTTCATGTATGCCGAAGGCAGAAAAACTGAAGTGTGAAAATGATCAACTAACAAGATCTACAAATAAGTCAATATAACTTTATTGTATATTATATTTGAATCAAAGAACTGATGTGCATGTACTGATAGTAAATAATAATATATCTGATGGCACACATGAATAAGAAAAAAGTTGTTGTTTGCTTAATGTCCCGCGGCAAATATTTCATGACTGTTTCAGGACAAAACAAATTACCTTATAGGTATTCACCAGGTTCTGCCAAATGGACCGACCGTGATAAAGGTTGAAACATTGAACTACTACTTACTAGGGAGAAAATGTTGGATAGTGAAAGAGAAGACATTTGGAGTCTTGCAACAAACCATCTATGAGCCCAATGAGGGGTTTTTGCATGGAGCGTGGCACTTTCCCTACACTAGTCTTTATACGTTGCTGTGAATTTAAACATTTTTCCAGCAAAACTAATTCTAATTGATTGGAAAATGGGAAAATGGGCATATATCAGCCAGAAAAACTGGGTCCATTATCTTTACGCGGGAAACCTTCGGGGATAAAAGGATAGATATAAAAATAAGAAGATGTGGTATAATTGCAAATCAGACAACTCTCCACCAGACACCAAATGACATAGAAGTTAACAACTATAGGTCACCGTACGGCCTTCAACTTTGAGCAAAACCTATACCACATAGTCAGCTATAAAAGGCCCCGAAATGACAATTTAAACGTGAAAACTAACGGCCTGATTTATGTAAAAAAAAACGAACGAAAAGACTAATCACTGCTTCGGAGAAAATCACATGCATGTCAATGGAAAAATTTGGATTTATTAAGATAAGAGTAAATAATGTCAAATCTTTTCTAAAAAAAATTTGTCTACGAATATAGAGTGTCTTAACAAAAAACCCAATAAGAGAACATTTCTGAAGAACTGAACACTCCTATAGAAAATTTGTAATTTATTTATAGTTTAACCTTTTATTGTACTAATAATGACTCATTTAGTGTGTTCCAGTTTATAATTTTATATAGAATTCTTGCTACAAATAAACTAATCATAGATACAAGGCTTAAAATTGTGTACACCAGACAAATGCATTGCTGTATAAATGTGGGTTAAAAGAAACCAATTAGTGGAGTTTCTGTAACGAAACCAAGGTAACTGTCAATCATCTTTTATGGGAATGTATTTTAAAGGATTAACAGTCATCGAACGTAAATTTATTTCTACCATCATCGGACTATTAATGAACAAAATGAACGCAAAAGAGACTAAGATTTGGTATTGATCGTTCAAAGTTGGAAATGGTAGAAATCCGAAAAAAGAGGAATATAGGATGCCTCCCGTTCGTTGTGTCCTTTGGTTTCTTTTTTCGTCTGACCGCATTTTGAATCCGTAACATAATCTAGATTCATTGTACTGTCAAAAAATTTAAGAATACATGAAATCATTGTGCACCTCTCTTTTACATCTGTTTATATATTTGTTTTGGATACCCATAGCAATGCATGGACATAACCATTTCTGCTCACCAAAAAACAGGGACACTTGCATCATGACACAACATGTTATAGGTTAGGTTTATTCCATTTAAAAGTAAGTAAATGTACATCTTCTTTGAAAATTGAAGGAAATAACGCACATGCATGCCGAACATCCAAGTAGACAAAAATCGATCCTTGTATAACCTTACAGCTGTTTATAGCAAATCACTTCCAACCCCTACTCCATGTCCAATACCGTATTTGAAAGACAAATTATGCAAGGAAAGAACTGGGGTGATAACTTATGATGTTCTGTTATTCAAATATTACATGCCGTACCTTGGTGTTCGAAATTTATGCGAACATTATTATATGTTAACTGCAAGTCAAAGGTATTTTTTATACCACTGCTCTGCCAGATATGTAGTCATAACTGTTTTAAATATGCATAAACTTGTTGACACAGGATGTAAAGAAAACAAAACTCAATAATATATTTTCCTCATCAGTTAAATTTATTACATTAAAAAAGATGGCAAGGGTATTAAAGAAAATTTGACAATTCAATTCATTTCTATATTCATTTAATATTACCACGAAGTAAGGAATATGTCTATTATATTCTAATGGGTTAAATATATTTGGTCTTGAAGTGTAATATGAAAGAACTTTTTGTTGTGTTTTTTTTCATCAATTATACGTTATGTACCTGGAAAGGTTACTGTTACATTGAAACCATAATCCTGGAATTTATTCTGTTCATCAAATGAAAAACAACGATAAACTCCGACATCATCTGTATCAACGTTATTAATGGTTAGAATAGGTTTTTGTAAGCCTCCATATTTTCCATAGTTTTCAAGAGGTACCCATTTATCACCATTGTGCTTTTGCCATCCAAATACACTCCCTCCTATATTACAAGTCAAATTCACTGTGCCACCCACGGTTGCAGTCATGTCTACAAAGAAGAAGACACAATAATTATTAAAATAAAATCAGAACAGAAGATTCTCCTTTCAACAAAATAAAAACATCCATTATGATAAACTTGAAAACCAGTATCTAAATATTATGAAAATCAAAATGAAATAAAAATGTAGCAGTATGAAAATGTCATTACTACAACCTCAATAAAGGAACAACTCATTGCAGCCAATATAAAAATAATGTTTCTCCAGAATATATATTTCAACCCTTAGCAGGCAAAGCATCAAACATTTTTTTCCCCATAAATTATGCAAATCATTTTTTGGAATGTCTAGCTAAATAATTTGGATCTCAATCAAATTATGTAGTCCTACATATACCCTTGCATCATTCACGAAAGAGGAGATTAAGAAAGACACAAATCCGCCCGTCTCTACTCTTGTATTATATTAAAGAACACGTCAATAATATCACGTCTTTATACTGGAAACCAAATACATTTCACAATTTAAGTTCTCATGAAAACGATATATATCCGGTTCGTATAGTTGTGTAATTAAAGATTTTTCTAAAGATCCTTTTACTATTCTTTCTACAGTAAAAGAAATATTGTGATAATCGTCCAGCAAGACTACTCTTTGATATAGCTTTACTTAGTCTTCATTGACTTTATCTAGGCTTGTAGCACAATATATGATGTACTGTTGCATGTAGTTATTGAATACTTTACAGATTACCGATGTTTGTTTGTCGTAAATGATGTAAATAATTACCATACAGTCACATTATTATTTTTTTTAACATTTTATGGCATATTCTATGGTAGAATTTAATTTTGACCTATTTCTTTGACGTCAGTCTATTGTTAGCTCAGTTATGTCTTAAGACATTTATGGTTCAAACTAGATTTACTATTGATGTCTAATAACTTATACTCTTAAAGAGGTTTATTCATAATTATTTTTGATACATGCAAGCAAATTGTGTTTTCGTCTATTGAGCATCTTTCATTTATATCCATAATATATATTGCATAGGTTTTATCTATTTGATTGTTTTCACTATGGCTTAATCATTAAGCCAGAAAATAACATCGGGAATATAGCATTCAACTTTAGACCATCAAACACAGAATCATTATTGCAAATAAGCTAAATAATAAAGCAGAATACTCATAGCAATACTAAACTTTAGAATTAGAAGAATAGTAAAAAAGTAAAAAATGGATTAAAATATTTCAATAAAACATGAAAACTTTTATTCTGCATGTCCGGTTTGAAAAAAAAGATTGACGTTCAATAATGCTGTGTGATGAGTTTAACTGAATCTTTATACACTTATGAAACTGTAATATAGATTTACATATACCTACGACCCTTGTCACGTGTACCGTAAAAGGACTTTGTCTTGTTAATTGTTTAGTTACTTAGTATATTGTAGGTTTAAAGGTACATTTTATCAATCAGTTTTACTTTGTTTGATTATAAGTTGTTTAACGCCCTAAATGTTTCGAATAATTTTTATATTTTATAACATGAACATTTACAGAAAATTAACATAACAATGATATTTCATGTCATCACAACGGTGCTGAATACTGATATGTCCCCAGTGGCTGTAAGTTCCCATCAAAGATACCCTGTTCATAATTTGGGACGCTAAACGCGTTTTCGTTTACATCAGACACTAATCAAAACAGACGAAAGACAAAATAACTCAAACACATAGTTGTAGAGCATTGGAAAGCAAATAAAAAGTTCGCCAAGTTGTACCAAATACAACTAAGTCTAAATATATGTGGTAGAAAAACCTTTTCGTTTCGACTTTTTGAAATATTCTTACAATCTATAAACAATAAAACAAAAAAAAAGAACGTGTCAATGATATTTTAAATCCACTCGAAAATGCTGACTACTGGGCTGGTTAAATATTCTGGGACGAAACGTCTCTCAGGGTTGGCATCGACCATTATACGTAGTTGTAAACACTCGTCAAATATACCAGAATCAATCATAGTTTGGGACTACTGACAAGCATTTTAAAAGACCAATCAGTGGCGTTCCAATCTTCTAAGATTCGGAAGATTAAACAACTAATAAAAACACCAAGCTGAAGAGCATTGCAAACCAAAACTTCAGAAAAAATGTGTCAAATGTGACTAAGGGTATGACTTTGGGTGGACAAACAGCAGTGTTTTGAAACACTCCTACATTTCATAAACAGCAAAATTACAGAAAATGAATGTATCAATGATATTTCATTTCATTACAAAAGTACTGGGCTGATGATATTCTCGAAAACCAGTTCTCAATTGGAATAACCATGACTGTTTATATGCATATTTTTAAAGTAAAACCGAAAAGTCATGGTAATTTGTATACACTGAATGCAATTTAATGATTATTAATTAATGAATATGTCCAACACATTTTGTCGCAAAATTTCTTACAGTTTAATTTCTTAAAAATATTACTTAAACAATCATTGTAATATACTTTTAAATACAATTTTTTATCGAATTTGACCGTTCGAAATTTTAATAACCTTTAAATGACTTGGCTTACTTACACGAGAAAAAGGAGATATTGGCAAACAGAAATCTTTTTTTTTCTATAAGACTTTCTGCAGTCTATATTTTCAGTTTGTGTGTGTAAGTAAACGACAATAGTAAGTTCTAAATAGTAATTATAGTCAAGGGTATACTGATTATCAGTTAAAATCTTTTTAATCAATGTCTGATTACTCCTGGGACGAATTAACATATCTACATGTACCACGCACCAGGTTGGTTTCCTTCCCCATAACTTTTATTTTTCCTCTACTTCACACGAAAGAAATAAAATTATACATCATCGGACAATCTGTCACTATTTCAGATATATACTTTTACGCTAATATGGTAGTCTTTCACATATGTTTTTTTGGCATTATGATTTAAATATTTCGGGATATTAAGTCGCGATATACTGACAACGGCATGGCAAAAAAACATGACAAATAATTCACATAACAGTACATAGAGACCAAGTGAAACTAGGGAGGTCTCAGGTGTTCTGAAAGGATAAGCAGATCACCCCCACTAGTGGCACACGTAATGTAGCTCAAGGTAACAACATATTCGGTAAGAGTAGCGTCAGGTGGTGTCACAATCTTGGAAAAGAGGACGAGATCGTGTAAACGACAGTTTGAACAAATCCTATGACGGTCAAATCAATTGTGATGTCGTTCGTTAAACGTTCGAAGTGATGACCATTTTTTTTTTTAATTTTGAACCCCCTATCATGTAAATCATGATAGAAAACGCAAGCTATGGAATATCCTTTCAACTGGGATATATAATATTCAATATGCAGGTGTTGTTGGATTGTTGCTACATAGAAATTAAAAGTTTACTATTGTAAAGATGAATTCATTCCTTTTGTCTTGAATTGTTTTTCTCAACCAACCCTCATAGTCCATTTTTAGATGTAAATCAAAATATTAGGCAAGCTTCACTGTTTTGGATTTATTTATTATTTGATGTTGGCTTTAAAACTAGCTTTCAGTAACTGAAGGTAATCTTATATCGGTACTTTGTGTCTTTTGCCTTTAAGATAACTGTTTCTTTGTTGTGCTTCGTGTCGATCTGATGATCAAGCCATTTTATAGTTTGTTCTAATGTTGTGCTGTTACACCATTGTCCTTCGTAAAAGGGGGTTGGGAGCAAACAAACATGTTTAATCCCACATTCTGTATGTTTCTGTCCCAAATTAGGAGCTTGCTCTTTAGTTCTTGACGTTTTCTGCTGTATGTTATATATATTTTGTTTTTGTGTTTTTATGTTTCCAATTGTTTCGTCGTATATCAAGATGTTGATTTTTCTCGTTTGGATTGTTTCACATTTTGTTTTGTCGGGGAATGTATAGCTGATTGTACGGTATGGACTTTGCTCTTTGTTTAAGATCATACGGTGACCTATAGGTACTTAGATCTACGTCTGTTGGGCTCTTTCGGATAGTTGCCTCATTGACATCATATCACATCTCCTTAGCTTATATAAACTGTATTATTGAGAGTTTATTTTGAATTCGATTGGATAGATTCCCAAACTTTATTTAGTGAGAGGACATCATCTACATAGCGTATCATGAAGTTAAAGGATAATGTTAGCTTTTAATTCTTCTCTAGAAGCTTCTGTATGAAACCTGTCTAATATGACTGAATGAAAGAACTAGCCGACAAGAAAAGGTGCATAGGTGGTACCAAAAGGAATTCCGATTGTTTGTTGAAAAACACGTCCTCCAAAATGTAGTAATTAAAAGTATCATTCATATTGATGGTGTCAGTCCCAGAGATATTTTTGTTTGAAACAGAGATGTTTAACTGCTGGCAATAAGTATTCGTAAGAACAATCAGATATCTGGTATAAAAATTGGGGATACTGAAATAAAAATTTCACAGTTGGCTGATGATACCACTTGTTTTTTGAAAGATGTATTTTCCGCGCAAATTTTATTAGATTCCTTTAACGATTTTGAGAAGTGTTCAGGGTTAAAAGTCAATTTTTTGAAAACCGAAGCAACATGGATTGGAAGAAATAAATTTAACAAAGAAGGATCCCTTCCTATTAAATGGACAGATGGTTTTAAAACCTTAGGTTTAAGATTTAATGCTTTTGAAGAAATGATTTGTTCTAATTTAGATACATGCATAGAAAAAATGGAATCAATAATTAAACTGTGGAGGATCAGAAACCTTTCCTTGATCGGTAAAATTGTAATTCTTAAATCACTTGCAATATCGAATTTATTTATGTCATTTCATCTACACATGTACCAACATATTATGTAACTAAAATACAACGTGACATTAATAGTTTTTTATGGAATGGTAGTACTGCGAAAGTTAAATCGGAAGTTATTCAAAAGTCTCTTAGCGAGGGGGGACTAAAAGCCCCAAATTTTGAAGTACAGCTGTTATCCTTTCGTATAATGTGGGTAGAAAGATTTCTGTCAGAACATGACTCCAAATGGAAACATGTTTCCAAAGCATTCTTCCCCCTTTTTGATTTAGAGGATTTATTTATGAGCAGACGTGAATTTGAGTTTTTAAATTTAAAAGCACCTCTTTTTTTATATAGAAGTGTTATCTGCTTGGAAACGTTTCAAGGGTATTTTCATCCCGTTAAATGCATTTCATGTTAGAAAAGAATTTATTTGGTTCAATCCGTTTATCAAAATTGACAGAACGAGTATTTTTTACAGATCTTGGTACATGAAAGGCATAAGGTTCATCGATAATATTGTAGATGACAAAGGCGAATTTTTGTCTCAAGACGCTATTAACCAAAAATATAACCTGAATGTTACTTTTGTAGACATTCTATCTATTAAACTTGCTATACCAAGTGACTGGAAAAATTTGTTATTACAACAACACATGTCACCTAACAGCAACTCATTTGGATTCGTTTTTGAGCATAAGAATAAAAAAAAGCCTATCAGTAAATTATTTGCTAAAGATGTATATTCACTTTTTATCGATCGGGGAAGTATTTCTCCTATTTCACAACAAAGGTGGGAAGAAAGTTTTAATATAGAAATTAGTGACGAAAAATGGAAAAATATTTATTCACTATCTTTTAAATGTACTATAGAAAGCAAACTACAAGCTTTCCAATATAAAATGTTACACAGAATAGTCTCACATAATTATCTTCTTGAAAAATATAAACTTTCCTTATCTAATGAATGTGCCAGTTGTAAAGAAATAGAAACTATAGAGCATAAATTTTTTGAATGTATAGAAACAAAACAGTTTTGGAGAGAATTTTCTAATTGGTGGTATTTAGTTTTTGGAGTAAAAATATTTTTGAATAAGTATAGTGTCATTTTTGGTGTATTGAATTCTGATAACGTAGTTTTAAATTATTGTATTCTACAGGCAAAGTATTACATTAATTATGTAAAGAACACACAATTAGACAGACTGTTAATATCTGTGCAAGCTTTTCTTAAATTTTTGAAAAGACGTCTAGAGATATTAGAATATTTATATCTTTCTAAAGACAAACACGAGTCATTTGTCGACAGATGGGGGGGATTTATGGAAGTTATTTAATTAAATGTATTTTTAATCTGATTATATATTTAATGTATTCCAAAGTATTTTTTAAGATGTATCATATACTGAGTATTCACATCATCAACTTGTAAATTTTTTACTATGTCTTATTCGCATAATATCAATAGTATAACAATGCCATAAATGTCATGTCATTCACTTATGTCTTGTAAAAATGTATGTATGCACTGTAGTTTGAACACCAAAAAGATCAATAAAAAATAAAAAATAAAAAAAGAGATGTTTAAAATATGATTTATCTCTTATGATTCATCGCTTTCTTAAACAAGATATTTGCAACTATGTTGGCCATTCTTTTTAATGAATCAAAGTGAGACTGAATCTTTTAATCTACCCTCAAGTTTCGAATGGAGAATACCAAGGTGAAGGGAATAAAGTCAAATGTTTTTATATTTTTGCAAGAGGAAAGAGACTTAGATTGTATGTACTCTAACAAATCTTCGGAATATTTGAGTATCCCTTCTGATTTACACATTTCCTAAAGTAGGAAGTCTATCAAATGAACTGATACGATTTGAACAGAGACTAAGACAGAGAAGCATCGGCAAAAATAACACAGACTTTCTCACAGTGACTTTCATTTATATGTTGACCGTAAATGGCTATATCAAATGTACGTTTGTGTTATGACCAAATATATATTTTGGTTTTTTTTGGTACGTTTAGATCCATATTGTTTTCTCACACGAAAACAATTTCAAACACAGTATTTGACTTATACATAGCTTTTATATTTTTATCTCAATGTGATAATAAAATCAATACGTTTCATTAGCATATCATTATACATATACATGTATGTATAAAAGATGTACAAATTACTAACATCCTATATGATACAAAATATCTGTGGCTGAACATATATATGTGATGCACATTTCAGTCTCGATTTTGAAATGAAAAATTATGATTGCAACAAAGAAAACTTTGGAGCACTTCTACTTTATTCTTTCTATTCTTTCCTTATTTTCTTCACACTTGAGTTTTGCTACGAATATTGATATTTTCTAACACTCATATAAGATAAGGTACAAATAAATCACGGTAAATGCTTAATGATATTCGTCATGTCACTCATTAGATATAAGAAGATGTGGTATGAGTGCCAATGAGACAACTCTCCATCCAAGTCAAAATTTATAAAAGTAAACCATTATAGGTCACAGTACGGTCTTCAACACGGAGCCTTGGCTCACACCGAACAGTAAGCTATAAAGGGCCCCAAAAATTACTAGTGTAAAACCATGCAAACGGGAAAAACCAACGGTCTAATCTATATAAAAAACGAGAAACGAGAAACACTTATGAACCACATCAACAAACGACAACTACTGAACATCAGATTCCTGACTTAGGACAGGTGCAAACAAATGCAGCGGGTTTAAACGTTTTAATGGTACCAAACCTTATTTTATTTCTAGTTTATTTCTAATTTTGCAATGTTTTTTTTCAATATTTAACATTTGTTCAACAAACTTCATTTTATTTCTAAATTGCGTAAACATGTATTCATCATGCATACCTGTAAGGTTAAATAACCATTATTCGCACTCGACGGTTTTAATTATATACATACCTGCATTAGTAACGTAGAAATTAAGAATCAGTACGAAAACTTCCCAACATTTTCTTTCCGTCATTTCTGTGAAGTGAACAAGGAAGTAGTTATTATATTTGTAACTGACCTAAAGAAAGACACTTAACTAATGAGTGGTTGAATAATGTACCGGAATAACATAGTGCGGGAAATTATTTGAAATAATAAAACAATTTCTATATTCTAATCTCCGTCTGGTCGTAAAAAGTTTCTTTCGTCAATTATTGTTTTTAAATTTTAGATAGTTTACGGGATACCCGTCAATTCGTGGTTGTGGGTAGTCCGTTTAAATTAAAAACACATCTTTTGTTCAATTTCATGCTATGTTCGTAAATATATTCGATGCATATATCATCAAGGGTCATTGGAATATATAAGACATACATTTAATACCATTCTCAAACACAATTATAAAAGAGAGGCGAAGGATACCAAAGGGACATTCAAACACACAAGTCGAAAATAAACTGACAACGCCATGACTAAAAAAGAAACAAGGACAAACAGACAAACAACAGTACACAAAATAACATAGAAACCCAAAGACTGAGCAACACGAACCCCACCAAAAACTGGGGGTGATCTCAGGTGCTCCGGAAGGGTAAACAAATCCTGCTCCATATGTGGCACCTGTCGTGTTACTCATGTAAGTACAAACCTGGTGACATGTCTAATTCGGTAGGTCACATTCGGGGGAAATTGAAAAACATCCCACGTCATCTGCGTAACAAATATTCCATAACGGTGAACCAACTTAAGTCGGAAGTCTGTCAAAACATTTATTAAATTTCATCATCGGCACAAGGACATTATTCGTAAATATAAATCAACGTGTAGACATTTTTTATACGTTCAGGTATTTCACATCCTATCTTTTATGGTAATATTCAATACAAAGCACAACAATGTCGTCATTCACCTCAAACATGTCAAAAGCTAACCAAACATTTAAACAGACTTATTCAAAAGGGATATAGTTACGATACTGTTGTCAGGTCATTAAAGATGGCATTTTTTTGAATTAATTTGATTCACTCATAGGGTCTTTGCATCGGAAATAAACACATTTATTCTAAAACCAGTTGCTGGCATGATACGGGTTATATTCTTCTCGTATATTTTATGATGATATGATACTAAACCCTATAGGGAGGGATTGTGCTTGATTTTCATATCATGAAGACATAATCTTTTAATCAGTTTAATTGAGGTCTGGAGCTGGCATGTCAGTAACTGCTAGTAGTCCTTTGTTCATTTAGGTATCATTGTCATTTTGCTAAGTTTCTTCTGTTACCTATTTTAACACCGGACTCGGTCTTCTTTTAAACTTAGTTTTACTGTGCGTATTGCTGTGTGTTTGTTTATTCTACATTGGCTAGAGGTATAGGGGAGGGTTGAGATCTCACAAAACATGAGTAACCCCGCCGCATTTTTGCCCCTGTCCTAAGTCAGGAACCTCTAGCCTTTGTTAGTCTTGTATGCTTTTTTTAATTTTGGTTCATTCATATGTTTCGGAGTTTAGTGTGACGTCCATTTTCTCTGAACTAGTACACATTTTTGTTTAGGGTCCAGCTAAAGCCCTCAGGGTGCAGGATTTTCTCGCTGTGTTGAAGACCAATTGATGGCCTTGGGCTGTTTTCTGCTCTTTGGTCGGGTTGTTATCTCTTTGACACATTCCTCGTTTCCTTTCTCACTTTTTTAATTAATTTTACGTATTTTTCTTTGAAAATAAGAAAACATAACATTCCAAAAAAGTAAAAAAAAAAAAAAAAAAATACTGAACTCCAAAATTAAAATTCATACTGGAAAGTTCCTTATCAAAAGCTCAAACACATCAAACGAATGGAAATCAACTGTCATATTCCTGACTTGGTAGAGGCATTTCAATAATATGTAGAAAAAGGTGGTTTTAACCAAGGTTTATAGATAATATAACTTCGCACTTGTTTGACTGTTTCGTAAAATTCCATGATATTGACAACAATGTGTGACCAAAACCAACAGACATAATAGGTAAAAATGTAAAAAATTTGGGTTAAACAGTCAACTTTGTTTATAATTATAATCACTAAAATTGCATTTTGTATATGAGTTTCAAAACAATTATATTAAGATACTTCGAATGGTTTTGTTATGAATCTAGAAGTTAAAACATCATTCGTTTTTTAATTACTGATATTTTATATTTTCCACACTTTCTGGTGAAAATTGAAAAAAATATCATCCATCATACACATTTCAGAATAATAAAAAGTGCATGCATAGAAGTTTCATTTCGATGAATACCTCATGAACATACTACAAATCCAGGCATCTTTACATAAATTTCATCTCTGTACAACATTCCTTTAAAGTACAACACTAGGACTAAGGAAATTATATACAGCATTGTTTTTGGTATATATAGTATAAATGCACCATACACTGAGTTTTAGTTTCAGAAATATGCAAATATATATAAAATGCGATAATTTTCCCGCATTTTTTTAAAACTAAAATCTCTATTGATCTTCAAATTTAACCAAATAAATTGATGCATTTATTTTATTATTCGCACATTTAATTTCCATGGAAGTTATTTTGCCCTGACCCTTGAGTCATAATCTATTGATATTTTATTTAATTTAAACGTTAAAGTTTGAAATAAGGTCAGTTGAAGTGGTACAATAAATGGTAAGTCAATAATATTTGGAATGCATTTGTCTTAGCATTGCACATCTCATTGTCATGGAGATAATTTGGCTCTGATCCCTCTATCACTATCTATTGACTTTGAAACTTTTGAAAATCCGGATATGGTGAACCAATTTTTGCACCTCATGTTTGAGGTATACCATCTTTACCGCAAGTTTATTGTTTTCTGTTTGGTATCAAATAAATAATTAAGATCCATTTTGTTACATCTGTAGATCCGTTTATTTGGCAATCGTCATGGCAGTAAGCAGGGTTTAAGAACATCAGTTGTTCGACTTGCTAGTCAAATGCGTTTTGTTTAAAAAAATTTGCACTCATTTGGTCCTTTGGAAAATTTTGTTTGTGCTGTATTTAGACCCTCTACCAAAAAATTTGTTTTGCATGCACACGTATAAAAATTGCGGTTTTTATCCAACAAAATCATAGGTTTGAACGTTGTTTTCAATTTAGACTTGTTTATATTTTTTCGTTTGGGCTTGTATTATATTTGACTTCGGGTTTATATGATCCGTTCATCCTATTTTGACTCTTTCAAAATTCAAGAGTCTATCCTAAATTGAGGTAAATAATATGGCCTTCCAAATACTGTTTCGATTCCTAACATCACTGAAGAGACATTAATTGTCGAAATCCTGATATGGTGTACAAATTTGTGCCCCTCATGTTTGCGGTATACCATCTTTTCCGCAAGTTTATTGTTTTCTGTTTTGTAATAAATTAATAAGATGATCTATGTTGTTACATCTTGTGATCCGTTTATTTGGCAATCGCCAATGGCAGTCAGCAGGGTTTAAGAACATCAGTTGTTCCACCTGCTAGTCAAATGCGTTTTGTTAAAATATACTTTTTCACTCATTTGGTCTTTTGGAAAATGTTGTTTGTGCTGTATTTAGACCCCTCTACCAAGAAATTTTTATTGCATGCACACGTATAAAAATTGCGGTTTTTATCCATCGCAATCATAAGTTTGAACGTTGTTTTCAATTAAGACTTGTTTATATTTTCCGTTTGAGCTTGCATTATATTTGCCTTCGGGTTTATATGATCCGTTCATTCTATTTTGACTCTTTCAAAATTCAAGAGTCTATCCTAAATTGAGGTAAATAATATGGCCTTCCAAATACCGTTTCGATTCCTAACATCACTGGAAAGACATTAATTGTCGAAATCTGGATATGGTGTACATATTTTTGCACCTCATGTTTGTGGTATACTATCTTTTCCGCAAGTTTATTGTTTTCTGTTTGGTAATGAATTAATAATAAGATCTATGTTGTTACATCTTGTGATCCGTTTATTTGGCAATCGCCAATGGCAGTCAGCAGGGTTTAAGAACATCAGTTGTTCGACTTGCTAGTCAAATGCGTTTTGTTTAAAATACTTTTTCACTCATTTGGTCTTTTGGAAAATTTTGTTTGTGCTGTATTTAGACCCCTCTACCAAGAAATTTGTTTTGCATGCACACGTATAAAAAATGCGGTTTTTATCCAACAAAATCATAGGTTTGAACGTTGTATTCAATTTAGAATTGTTTATATTTTTTTCGTTTGGGCTTGTATTATATTTGCCTTCGGGTTTATATGATCCGTTCATCCTATTTTGACTCTTTCAAAATTCAAGAGTCGATCCTAAATTGGGGTAAATTATATGGCTTTCTAAATACTGTTTCGATTCCTAACATCACTGAAGAGACATTAATTATGAAAATCCTGATATGGTGTAAAAATTTGTTCACCTCATGTTTGCGGTATACCATCTTTTCCGCAAGTTTATTGTTTTCTGTTTGGTAATTAATTAATAATAAGATCTATGTTGTTACATCTTGTGATCCGATTATGTGACAATCGCCATTGGCAGTCAGCAGGATTTAATAACATCAGTTGTTCGACCTGCTAGTCAAATGCGTTTTGTTGAAATATACTATTTCACTCATTTGTTTTTTTGTAAAATGTTGTTTGTGCTTTATTTAGACCCAACTACCAAGAAATTTGTTTTGCAAGCACTCGTATAAAAATTGCGGTTTTTATCCAACGCAATCATAAGTTGGAACGTTGTTTTCAATTTAGACTTGTTTATATTTTTTCGTTTAGGCTTGTATTATGTTTGCCTCCGGGTTTATATGATCCGTTCATCCTATTTTGACTCTTTCAAAATTCAAGAGTCTATCCTAAATTGAGGTAAATTATATGGCCTTCCAAATACCGTTTCGATTGTTAACATCACTGAAGAGACATTAATTGTCGAAATCCGGATTTGATGTACAACTTTTTGCACCTCCTATTTGCGGTATACCATCTTTTCCGCAAGTTTATTGTTTTCTGTTTGGTAATAAATTAATAATAAGATCTATGTTGTTACATCTTGTGATCTGTTT